ACTACAGCAGCAAACAGCAGCTGACGGTGGTACAACAGCAGCAGCAGCTGACAGTACAGCAGCAGCTGACAGTGCAGCAGCAGCTGACGGTGGTACAGCAGCAGCAGCAGCTGTACCACCAATAGTAGCGATGGTTGATTGGGGCTTATTATACAACCTGGCCAGCTCGGAGACATGCACTCCACTTTCATACTTATCAATGATCTTTTTCTTCATCTCTATAGTAATTCTCACCCTTATTGCTGTAGGGTTGGCACTAGAAGCTTTCTTGGGGCCCATGGTCACTTATTTTCCAGAAAAAATCACCAAAAACACTGTAATAATACGAAATGTTCCGATTGTATGCTTGGATGTTACCGCGGAGGCTGGCTGGTAAACAATGCCACCGGCGGAACATGTGAGCGTGGCTCAGGCCGCACATTGGACGCGTCTCGGACGAAGAGCGGTGAGTGGGTTTCTGGGCGGTATGCGAGGCAAAATTTTTGCGAAAAAAGCGAGCGGTATGCGGATTGTACGGTATGCGATGCGTGCGGTATGCGGGGGTCCACTGTACTCTGATAATTATACTTATGTGTACCTGTACCTAAATAAACTTACTGTGCTGGCGTGCAGGTACACATTAAAATCGCTAAGAGTCTCTCTACTCTTGACACCACGTAATCTCTTGGGTGCATTAAATGTCTTATATTACGTTAATATAGACATTTCCATTAATCCATATATGATATTTTTTTCAAAATTATTTAATAAACACGCTACATAACACACAAACATGATACATACACAGTCTAAAAATTGACATAGATATGTGTGGGATTTGTTTACCAAGTGGTTGGCGGGAGGCTTGGAAGAATTACGTTTACTCTATTCAAGCAACCAGTAACTTAACTAGAAATTTATTCCTTTCGTATGCCTTCACTATCTATAGCTATTTGTGACCCTTGTGGGTTTAGTGCTTCTTTTTTATTATGATTATAAAAATATTAACTTGTAATAATAATAACTTGTAATGATAATAACTTGTAATAATAATTTGTAATAATAGTTTGTAATAATAATACAGTGGAACCTCATTTTTTGGCCATAATTGTTCCAGAAGGTCGGCCTAAATTTGAAACGGCCTAAATTCGAAGCAGTGTTCCCACAAGAATTAATGTAAATACAATTAATCCGTTCCAGACACCCAAAAATATTAACAAAAAATACATTTTTTAAAGATTAATTATAGTTTTACATACACAAACCAATGAGAACTAAATAAAATAAATAAATTTAATCGCTATCAGTTCTGGTCACCTTATTACAGAATGGATATAAATGCTCTGGAAAACATACAGAGGAGGATGACAAAGATGATCCCATGTATCAGAAATCTTCCCTATGAGGATAGACTGAGGGCCCTGAATCTGCACTCTCTCGAAAGGTGTAGAATTAGGGAGGATATGATCGAGGTGTATAAATGGAAAACAGGAATAAATAAAAGGGATGTGAAGAGCGTGCTGAAAATTTTCCAGCCAAGACAGGATTCAGAAAGGATATAGGAAAGCACTGGTTTGGTAATAGAGTTGTAGATGAGTGGAACAAACTCCCGAGTACAGTTATTGAGGCTAAAACATTGTGTAGTTTTAAAATGGGTTAGATAAATACATGAGTGGGTGTGGATGGGTGTGAGTGGGACCTGACTAGCTTGTGCTGCTGGGTCTGGTGCCCTGCTCCTTCCTTGAGTGAAGGTGACCAGACTGTTGGGTCATTGGGCTAACCCTGGGGGGAGGGGGGGACATGGGCCTGCTCTGCATGGGTCAGTAGGACTGTTGCAGTGTTCCTTCTTTCTTATGTTCATACTTTTATTGAAGGGGAGGAGGAGAGAGGGAAGACTGATTATTTTTTGGAAGGGGAATCCCCCTCCATAAAGACTTCAGGTATCAAAGCCCCCTCTGGGGCTTTGGGAAGCTTGTCTTTCATAGGCTTGTGTCCTGGCAGTGCCTTCTCCTCCTGCATGATGTAGGTCCTCACTTGTTCATACGAAATATTTCATAATATTCCATTCATTTTAGTGCTTGCAAATGCTAAATAAGCTACCATGGCTCCAAAGAAAGCTCCTAGTGACAAACCTTTGGTAAAGAAGGCGAGAAATACAGCTGAATTAAAGAAAAACTTCATTGAACAATATGAAAGTGGAGTACGTGTGGCCGAACTGGCCAGGATGTATAACAAACCCCATACAACCATATCTTCCATTGTGGCAAAAAAAAAAAGGAAATCAAGGAAGCTGTTGTTGCTTGGAGAAAATTGTGGCCAGATTTTGTCCACAAGAGGGACTTTGAAGGGTTTGTGACTGACCCTGATGAGCCTATGTCAGTTGTGAAATCTGTTATGGCATTGGGGAGTTCCCTGGGGTTGGATGTGAGTTTGGAGGATGTGGAAGAGTTGGTGGAGGACCACAATGAAGAGCTAACCACTGAGGAGCTGCAAGAGCTTCAGCAGGAACAGCAACAGATCGCAGCTCAGAATCTTGCTGCAGAGGAGGAAGAGAGATGGAAGAAGGTGCCTTCTTCAGAAATTAAGGAGATTTTTGAAATGTTGGGTAGGATGGAAAGATTTATGGAGAAACATCACCCTGAGAAGGATGTTGCAAGTCATATCGGCAACTTGTACAGTGACAGAGTCTTGGCCCATTTTAGGGAAATTTTAAAGAGACGCCAGAAACAGAGCTCTCTGGACACTTTTTTTGCGAGACAGGACTCCAGTGACTCTCAAGCTGGTCCTAGTGGCATTAAGAAACAGAGAAGATAAGTATGTAACCCCAGAAAAGGACTTGGTACCTGAGGTGTTGATGGAAAGGGATTCCCCTTCCAAACAGTAACTAATCCACTCTCTCTCCTCCTCCAGTCTTCCATACACTAAGAAGAATTGCTAATAAAGGTAAGTGTTACACTGTTAATGTCTCATTCATCATGTCCCATTGTATTGTTTATGTACTACATCTATATTTCATGTAAAAAATTTTTGTTTTAATACTTCTGGGTGTCAGGAACGGATTAATTGTATTTATATTATTTCTTATGGGGAAAATTGATTTGAAAATCGTCTATTTCGATAATCGCCGCACTTCCAGGAACAGATTAACGACGATAAACGAGGGACCAGTACCTTACCTCGGGAGTGATGATGACCATTCGCCATATAATGACATATTTTATTCATTCTAGAGTATATACCATGTTTCTATGTTGTTTATATTGTTTATGATGTCATATTAGATCAATTGTGATAGATAAATAAGCCGTAGAGCTGATATTAGCTTAATGTTGAATAATATTCTGTCAAGATCCGCATGCAACTGCCTTGCCTTTTCACAAATGATCGTCTCTGAAACACTATCTTCTGCTCCAGCACCCTTACACCACTCATATTTTTCAATACCTTCTTTCTTAAATTCCATAGTGTTTCTCACTTTTTCTACCAAAGGGCTGGCACTCTGAACTTTCTTTGGGCCCATTGGGGGCTTATTTCACAGTCACACTTAAACCTCTTAACTGTCCAAACGTAGATCTACTTTCTTTTTTTTTACATTCTTTCTTATGGAGAAAATCAAGAACGGAGTGCTACGAGTAAAAACATAGATCTACGTTTGGACAGTTTAAGGGTTAATAAAGAAGCACAAAAACCAATGGATTTTAAGGAAATGTTTGGATGAATGCGTGGAGTATATGCTCACTCACTGACAGACACAGGGAAACTGAGTCACCAAAGTGTGGAATCCCAGTGGGAGAGGTGGGCTAACGCGTCTAATGTGGCCGACTTACAAGGCACCAGCCGAAATACTGAGCAAAATTTCCGCCCCAAAACTGGCCTAAATGTGAATCGGCTGATAAACAAAGCGGCTGAAAAACGAGGTTCCACTGTAATAATTTGTCAGAGTAGCATTCCTTCTAAAAATTGCATGAGAATGGAAGCGTTGGTCTTTATTTATTCTACTGTACCACTGTGGAGACGACTTGTACACAATGTAAGGTGTTTGTATGAATGTTTTTGAACCATACAAGACGATTTGTTTACACAAGTGCTCTGCGGCTCTGTCATCTTACATATTCTCTCTTGTTTATTCATTTTTATATTGCTTGCTCACCTCTCGCCCTACATTAAGACTACAAATATTTTAAGGTAAGTAATGAGTGTACTGTATGCATTTTATCACTCTAGGGCGCTTTAAATGTCGTAGTAGGTGGGGTGGCCAGGTGGGATGCCCAGGTGGGATGCCCAGGTGGGATGCCATACCTCCCACATGACTTTCTGCAAATAAATACTTTTCACCTCTCACCCTACGTTAAGACTGCAAATATTTTAAAGTAAGTAATGAGCATACTGTATATGCATTTTATTACTCTAGGGTGCTTTGAGCGTCGTAGTATATTATGTGTGTGTGGGGTGGTCAGGAGGGCTACCACACCTGACTTCTTACAGTAAATACTACTCACCTTTTGCCCTACATTAAAACTACAAATATTTTGAGGTAAATGATTGTACTGTGTGTGTATTTTCGTTTTTATTGTTTTTTAATGCCTAGTTCTATTGCTAACTTAATATATGTTAGTGTAAACTGTTATCTGGCATTTATATGCATTTATAAGTGGAAAAAATGGCGTTCTGCTTTCCGGCGATGTCTGCTTTCCAGTAGTAGCCTGGAACCTAACCTGCTGTATAAGTGGGGCTCTGCTGTACACTTAATTTTACAATTTCTTGTGTGCATCTTTCTGCTTTTCTTCATGTAATATTTATTTTTCAGTTTAGGAGGCTCAGTCTGAGACTGGGAAAGGGAATGGCTATGGTCACCAAAACTGTTAACAGATACTGTATATCAGATACAGTACTGCACATTCTCCAAACTTTATGCAGTATGAAGAACATATATGCGGTACTCTTAAGTGTGTGACTATAGTATATAGATTATTTTACAATAATTTTTTTTTCCCATTTTAATAAAATAATTTTTATATCAGCGAGAACGGAAGGAGCGAAAGTTGTACAGCGATGACTGGGCTCTTGGAGATGAGGAAATTGAAGGTCACCACACATTTGACCTTGACCAAAAGATAAAATCAGAGGAGTTTAATTTGTGTTTTGTTAAAGATATGACAGATATAGGTAAGTTACAATTACAGATGTATAAATTGAGTATGCATTTATGCTGTATTGTGCACAGATATAATCAATATTGATGAAGTATTGATCATATTCATTTATATTTTTTAGAAGTTTGTGGGAGCACATTTTTTATAATTAATTTGTTTTCTTTCCAGAGTATAATCTTGCACATGTACAGGAGAATGGATTTAATTGGCCATTGCTGTTCAAAGATAAGGCAGTACTAGGCATCGTAATACCAAATGCAGATTTCACAATCAATGATGTCCGACTATGTGTTGGTGAGCTAAAGTTAGAGTAGAGTTATTGTATAAAATGAGTATTATACTTTCAATACTACTTGCTGTCTACAGTAGTTTTGCAGTTTTGTTTTGGAGCTACAGGAGCAGATCCATTCTCATGGTGTTCAGCCTTCATGATTTAGTCTTTTTTTTTAAGTTTTTATGAGTCAGTGGATATAGCACATACTACTTGCTCTTGGATTTCTTTTAGTAGTCACCCACTTTGTGAATAAATGCTGCCCATTATCATCGTTTGGTAGTTTTTAGCATACATACTAAGAGTGTCAAAGTTGTTTTTAGGCCGCCTTATTTGTAGGTCATGTTTATCACTTAACTCGCTAGATTCCTATTATACTTGGGTGCATCAAAGTCTAAAACAAGAACTCAGTAATCATATTCCAACCTAAATATACAAACATGATTATACTTAAATTTGCACTACTCTTTCTCTTTATCATTTAAACTTGCACCTCTTCCCAACATTCTTAGCATTCACTTCTTTTGCAGCCCCATATATGAATATATTAGGCAGTATCATGACATCACGCATCCTTGTCTAGTAAAGTAGCTAATTTTGTCAAATTGAACATTGGAATTGGTTTACAATAAACTTAGTGGGCAAAATTTCTGATGTATAAATTTCTCCCAGACTGTTAAATTTGTGCCTATGTAATTCTGTAAATTTTCCATTAAATTAGTGTCATACCTTCAGAAAAAAAGATTCTTTTATCATTATAGATTTTTTTTAAATGTGAACACAGTCATATTAATTTCGGGGGTCTGGACAGTGAAAAGGTTAATGCAAAAAGTTGATCCACATATTCCCTTTCCTTCCTCCAGCTTGTTCTGCAATCCTTCTTTCTGAGCACTCTTTTGGTATTGCACACTATCTGTTCTCAACAGACCTTTTCCTATTTTTCTTTTATTCCATTTTTCACTGTACTAAGGAATTGTGCACACTGCCAGTCCTTAGGTATCCTTTGTTATCTTCCCTTCTTTTTGGGCATAGATTTTTTTTTTTTTAACAAGTCGGCCATCTCCCACCGAGGCAGGGTGACCCAAAAAGAAAGAAAATCCCCAAAAAAGAAAATACTTTCATCATTCAACACTTTCACCTCACTCACACATAATCACTGTTTTTGCAGAGGTGCTCAGAATACAACAGTTTAGAAGCATATACATATAAAGATAAACAACATATCCCTCCAAACTGCCAATATCCCAAACCCCTCCTTTAAAGTGCAGGCATTGTACTTCCCATTTCCAGGACTCAAGTCCGGCTATATAAAAATAACCGGTTTCCCTGAATCCCTTCACTAAATATTGTCCTGCTCACACTCCAACAGCTCGTCTGGTCCCAAATACCATTTGTCTCCATTCACTATGTATCTATCCTATCTATCTATCTATAGATATATTAAACAATACACCAACTATTACAAAATTGTATCCTACCTGATATCAGCACCTCGAGTCCTAACCCCATCAGTTTTTTCTATTTTTACCTTCCCTTTTTACCTTCCCTTCTACACTCAACTGTTGCTCTTCACTTCTAACATATATACCTCCCTACCTCATGAAATCACCATCTCTCTCATTCATCAACTTTGAGCAAGTCACAATTGTGTATCCATCTTTTCAATACTGATATTTCCTCATCTAACATTTTGCCACTTTCAAGTTTATTTACTCCCTAGGCTTTCTCATCTTATTTATCTCAATAGAAACTTTTTCATATTTTCAGCAAAATTGACTCAGGACTTGTTTATTGCCCCATTTGCTTTCACTTTTAACTCTACCATTCTTTGTAACCCCCTCCCCCTCACCAGTAATCTCCCTCACTATTCTTTGTAATCTCCCTCGCCTGTCTTTTAATAACATCTTTGTTTCAACCCAGGTGTTTTACATAAAAAGTGCTATACATTTCTTAACAGATTTTATTAGTGTATAAATTAATTCAAATTCTTCTAATTGATTTTGTAGTTCTTGAAAAAGTAAACAGGTAGCAAGAAAGAATTTTGCCCGCATTTTGCTTATGTTTCTATCTGTTTCAGGGTCACGCAGGATGCTTGATGTGATGGATGTCAATACACAGAAAAATGTAGAAATGACTATGAAAGACTGGCAACGGTATTTTGAGAGCCAGGACAAGGACAAGTTACTCAATGTCATATCCTTAGAATTTTCTCATACAAAATTGGAGTCATTAATTCAGGCACCAACTGTGGTAAGTAACAACAGTAGTAGTAAATTTTTGTTTACTGTAATGAATATTTTCCCAAGATTTGATTTTAAGGTATGCATACCATATTTTGTAACAGGAGAAACTTAAATTATGGTTTCATCATCATTCAACACTTTCACCTCACTCGTACATAATAACTGTTTTTGCAGAGGTGCCCAGATACAACAGTTTAGAAGCATATATAAAGATACAATATAAAAGCGACCTGAAATAATATAGTAAATTCCATATAGAATATAATATCAGGGCCCCAATTATATATATATACCGTCCTATTACACATCCCTCCAAACTGCCAATATCCCAAACCCCTCCTTTTAAAATGCAGGCATTGTACTTCCCATTTCCAGAACTCAAGTCCGGCTATATAAAAATAACTGGTTTTCTGACTCCCTTTGCTAAATGTTACCCTGCTCACACTCCAACAGCTTGTCAGGTCCCAAAAACCACTAGTCTCCATTCACTCCTATCTAACACGCTCATGCACGCTTGCTGGAAGTTCTAGCCCCTCGCCCACAAAACCACTTTTACCCCCTCCCTCCAACCTTTTCGAGGACGACCCCTACCCAGCCTTCCTTCCCCTACAGATTTAAATGCTCTCCATATCATTCTACTTTGATCCATTCTCTCTAAATGACCAAACCGCCTCAACAACCCCTCTTCAGCCCTCTGACTGTGAGCGTGTTAGGAGTGAATGGAGACGAATGGCATTTGGGACCTGACGATCTATTGGAGTGTGAGCAGGGTAATATTTAGTGAAGGGATTCAGGGAAACTGGTTATTTTATATAACTGGACTTGAGACATGGAAATGGGTAGTACAATGCCTGCACTCTAAAGGAGGGGTTTGGGGTATTGGCAGTTTGGAGGGATATATGTATTGTGTATTTCTATACAGTGGTCCCTCGTTTTTCATAATTAATCCGTTCCTGGAGCCGTTACTATAAATGAAATTTATGATTTACGAATCAATTTTCCCCATAAGAAATAATGTAAATACAATTAATCCGTTCCTGACACCCAGAAGTATTAAAACAAAAAATTTTTTTAACATGAAATATACATGTAGTACATAAACAATGCAATGGGAAATGATGAATGAAACATTAACAGCATAACACTTACCTTTATTGGAGATTCTTCTTAGTGTATGGGAGACTGGAGGAGGAGAGAGAGAGTGGATTGTTTATAGTTTGGAAGGGGAATCCCCTTCCATCAACACCTCAGGTACCATTTGCTTTTCTGGGGTTGCTTCTCTTCTCTGTTTGTTAATGCCACTAGGACCACCTTGAGAGTCACTGGAGTCCTGTCTCACAAAGTAACTGTGGAGAGAGCTCTGTTTCTGGCATCTCTTTAACACTTCCCTAAAATGGCCCAAGACTTTGTCACTGTACATGTTGCCAACCTGGCTTGCAACAACCTTGTTAGGGTGATGTTTCTCCATAAAGCTTTCCATCTTATCCCACATAGTAAAAATCTCTTTAATTTCTGAAGAAGGCACCTTCTTCCATCTCTCTTCCTCCTCCTCTGCAGCAAGATTCTGAGCTGCGATGTGTTGCTCTTCCTGCTGAAGCTCTTGCAGCTCCTCAGTGGTGAGCTCTTCATTGTGGTCTTCCACCAATTCTTCCACATCCTCCAAACTCACATCCAACCCCATGGAACTACCCAGTGCCACAATTGATTTTACAACAGACATAGGCTCATTAGGGTCAGTCCCAAATCCTTTAAAATCCCTCTTGTCGACACAATCTGGCCACAATTTTCTCCAGGCAGAGTACAAAGTCCTGGTAGTCACTCCCTCCCAAGTCATACCTATAAGGGTTATGCAGTGGAGGATGCTGAAGTGTTCTCTCCAAAATTCCCTTAGGGTCAAGTGAGTGTCTGTGGTCACAGTCAAGCACCTGTGAAACATTGCTTTTGTGTAGTTTTTTTTAAAGTTTGCAATAACCTGCTGGTCCATGGGTTGGAGGAGAGGAGTGGTATTCGGGGGCAAGAACTTTACTGTGATGAACTCAAAGTCCTCGAAAATTAGGTCATCCAAGTTTGGAGGATGAGCAGGTGCATTGTCCATTACTAGCAGTCACTTGAGATCCAATTTCTTTTCCAGAAGATACTCCTTCACACTAGGGCCAAACACTTCATTGAACCACTCGACGAAAATTTCCCTCGTGACCCATGCCTTACTATTAGATTTCCAAAACACACACAATTTACTCTTCATAACATTGTTTTTCCAGAACACTGGGATTTTCAGAATGGTACACTAGTAATGGCTTCACTTTGAAATCCCCACTAGCATTAGCACAGAACATTAGCATCAGCCTGTCTTTCATAGGCTTGTGTCCTGGCATTGCCTTTTCCTCTTGTGTAATGAAGGTCCTCTTTGGCATTTTCTTCCAAAAGAGGCCTGTTTCGTCACAATTGAACACTTGTTCAGGTTTCAGTCCTTCAGCCTCTATGTACTCCTGGAATTCATGCACATATTTTTCAGCCGCCTTGTGGTCCGAACTGGCAGCCTCACCATGCCTTACCACACTGTATGCCAGTATGGTTCTTAAATCTCTCAAACCAGCCTTTGCTGGCCTTAAATTCACTCACTTCACTATTTGCAGGCAATTTCTTTACCAAATCTTCATGCAACTGCTTAGCCTTTTCACAAATAATTGAAGTCATAAGAGTATCTCCTGCTAATTGTTTCTCATTTATCCACACCAATAATAACTTCTCAACCTCTTCCAGTACTGGTGATCTCATTTTTGTCAGCATAGTTACTCCCTTTGCAACAACAGCATCTTTTATTTCCTTTTTCTTGGCCACTATGGAACATAAGGTTGTGTAGGGTTTCTTATACATCCTGGACAGTTCGGCCACACTTGTACCACTTTCATAGTATTCAATGATGGTTTTCTTAAATTCAATCTTATTTCTCACCTTCTTTACCACAGGCTTGGCACTAGGAGCTTTCTTTGGAGCCATGGTAGCTTATTTAGTACTTGCAAGCACTCAAATAAATGGAATATTGTGAAATATTTCGTTGGAGCACGTGAGGGGACCTTGCTCACTGGTAAACAATGCCAGACTGGCTGCCGCCCCGGCTCACGCCGTGGGTACGTGTCCCGGACGAACTACGACTCGCGAGTCAACCTATGAAAAGCGAGTCCATGTTTATACGAAAATACCCCTATGATTGGCGAATTTTATGATTGCCGGGAACTACGAAAAGCGGGGGACCACTGTACATATATATTTCTAAACTGTTGCATTCTGGGCACCACTGCAAAAACAGTGATTATGTGTGAGAGAGGTGAAAGTGTTGAATGATGATGAAAGTATTTTCTTTTTGAGTATTTTCTTTATGGGTCACCCTGCCTCGGTGGGAGATGGCCGACTTGTTGAAAAAAAAAATAACATGCTCTCTGCCAGTCCCTAGGTACCTTCCCCTCTTTCATACATTTATTAAACAAAAATACCAACCACTCCAACATTATATCCCCCCTGCTTTTAACATTTCTGTCATGATCCCGTCAGTTCCAGCTGCTTTATCCCCTTTCATTCTACGTAATGCCTCTCGCACCTCCCCCACACTCACATCCTGCTCTTCTTCACTCCTACAAGATGGTATACCTTCCTGACCAGTGCATGAAATTATTACCTCCCTTTCTTCATCGACATTTAAAAGTTCCGGAAAATATTCCCGCCATCTACCCAATACCTCCGACTCCCCATCTACTAACTCCCCTACTCTGTTTTTAACTGACAAATCCATTCGTTCTCTAGGCTTTCTTAACTTGTTTAACTCGCTTATTTTCATTAAAATTTCTTGACAGTGCCTCTCCCACCCTATCATCTGCTCTCCTTTTGCACTCTCTCACCACTCTCTTCACCTTTCTTTTACTCTCCATATACTCTACTCTTCTTATAACACTTCTGCTTTGTAAAAACCTCTCATAGGCTACCTTTTTCTCTCTTATCACACCCTTTACTTCATCATTCCACCAATCACTCCTCTTTCCTCCTGCACCCACCCTCCTATAACCACAAACTTCTGCCCCACATTCTAATACTGCATTTTTAAAACTATTCCAACCCTCTTCAACCCCCCCCACTAATACTTGCACTAGCCCACCTTTCTGCCAATAGTTGCTTATATCTCACCCAAACTTCCTCCTCAATTTATACACTTTCACCTCCCTCTTACTTAGTAGTATTCTTAATGTAAAAGTACTGCCAGATTTTAAGCCATACCCCTGGCCGGGATTGAACCCGCGGTCATAGTCTCAAAACTCCAGCCCGTCGCGTTAGCCACTAGACCAGCTAGCCACAATAAGATTCATCCAACTAGGTATATTTCCACACCATAGGGTATGGTTTGTTTGCAATCGTGTCATTACGATTTCTTGAGTCCTGTCAGATTTTGTAATACATTATGAATATCACTATAATTTTATAATTCTTTTACCTTAAGGTACGTCAGATAGACTGGGTGGAACGAGTATGGCCACGACACTTAAAGGAGGCTCAGACAGAAGCCACTAATGTACTAGAAGATATGATGTACCCCAAAGTTCAGAAATATTGCCTCATGTCTGTCAGAGGTTGTTACACAGATTTCCACATTGATTTTGGTGGAACATCAGTGTGGTATCACATACTTCGAGGAAAGAAGGTCAGGTGATTTATTATTTTTATAAATTCTTAGCCAATTAATATTCATTTCAAGATATTGCAGAAGATGCATTATATGTTTTTAGCTGTAATTTTCCATAAGAATAGGAGTAATACAGGCATGTAGCAGTTTAGCGATACTAAAAATTATCTTTTTTTTTTATTATCACACTGGCCGATTCCCTCCAAGGCAGGGTGGCCCGAAAAAGAAAAACTTTCACCATCATTCACTCCATCACTGTCTTGCCAGAAGGGTGCTTTACACTTCAGATTTTAAACTGCAACATTAACACCCCTCCTTCAGAGTGCAGGCACTGTACTTCTCATCTCCAGGACTCAAGTCCGGCCTGCCGGTTTCCCTGAACCCCTTCACAAATGTTACCTTGCTCACACTCCAACAGCACGTCAAGTATTAAAAACCATTCATCTCCATTCACTCCTATCAAACACGCTCACGCACGCCTGCTGGAAGTCCAAGCCCCTCGCACACAAAACCTCCTTTACCCCCTCCCTCCAACCTTTCCTAGGCCGACCCCTACCCCGCCTTCCTTCCACTACAGACTGATACACTCTTGAAGTCATTCTGTTTCGCTCCATTCTCTCTACATGTCCGAACCACCTCAACAACCCTTCCTCAGCCCTCTGGACAACAGTTTTGGTTAATCCCACACCTCCTCCTAACTTCCAAACTACGAATTCTCTGCATTATATTCACACCACACATTGCCCTCAGACATGACATCTCTACTGCCTCCAGCCTTCTCCTCGCTGCAACATTCATCACCCATGCTTCACACCCATATAAGAGTGTTGGTTAAAACTATACTCTCATACATTCCCCTCTTTGCCTCCAAGGACAAAGTTCTTTGTCTCCACAGACTCCTAAGTGCACCACTCACCCTTTTCCCCTCATCAATTCTATGATTCACCTCATCTTCATAGACCCATCCGCTGACACGTCCACTCCCAAATATCTGAATACATTCACTTCCTCCATACTCTCTCCCTCCAATCTGATATCCAATCTTTCATCACCTAATATTTTTGTTATCCTCATAACCTTACTCTTTCCTGTATTCACTTTTAATTTTCTTCTTTTGCACACCCTACCAAATTCATCCACCAATCTCTGCAACTTCTCTTCAGAATCTCCCAAGAGCACAGTGTCATCAGCAAAGAGCAACTGTGACAACTCCCACTTTGTGTGATTCTTTATCTTTTAACTCCACGCCTCTTGTCAAGACCCTCGCATTTACTTTCTTACAGCCCATCTATAAATATATTAAACAACCACGGTGACATCACACATCCTTGTTTAAGGCCTACTTTACTGGGAAATAATTTCCCTCTTTCCTATGTACTCTAACTTGAGCCTCACTATCCTCGTAAAAAACTCTTCACTGCTTTCAGTAACCTACCTCCTACACCATACACCTGCAACATCTGCCACATTGCCCCCCTATCCACCCTGTCATATGCCTTTTCCAAATCCATAAATGCACAAAGACCTCTTTAGCCTTATCTAAATACTGTTCACTTATATGTTTCACTGTAAACACCTGGTTCACACACCCCCTACCTTTCCTAAAGCCTCCTTGTTCATCTGCTATCCTATTCTCAGTTTTACTTTTAATTCTTTCAATAATAACTCTACCATACACTTTACCAGGTATGCTCAACAGACTTATCCCCCTATAATTTTTGCACTCTCTTTTGTCCCCTTTGCCTTTATACAAAGGAACTATGCATGCTCTCTGCCAATCCCTAGGTACCTTACCCTCTTCCATACATTTATTAAATAATTGCACCAACCACTCCAAAACTATATCCCCACCTGCTTTTAACATTTCTATCTTTATCCCATCAATCCCGGCTGCCTTACCCCCTTTCATTTTACCTACTGCCTCACGAACTTCCCCCACACTCACAACTGGCTCTTCCTCACTCCTACAAGATGTTATATTAAAAATATTCAAGACTATTATTCCTGAATTTGATTTCAATAAATTGGGATATTGGTTCAATAACTGGAGAATGCCTTTTCTGATTCTTCAAACCTTTAATGCTGGTATGTCTTGCTTAGGGAAAGGTTTGGATTGGCTGTGGACTGTTTTGAGGTGTAAGGCAGTAGAAAGTACAGTTAATATGCGCAGCACACGATAGTTATAAATACCTGTTAAGTGATATTTCTTGAAAGTACACATTTCAAGGAACTGACTCTTATGAATATTGTTATACAGTGCAGGTGTGACTTTATGCAGTAGATACATTGCAGGCCTTTGGAATATCCATTTTCTTTCTTTGCTGTTCTATATATTTACCTTATTTAATGGCATTTGTCAAATGCCTTAGCAAAATCTGTGTAGACCACACCTTGCTTCGGTTTTCTTTCAAAACCCAGCCTGCTAACAAAATCTCATGTTAAAGGAATCTACAGCACTTTTTGTAAACTGAATTTTGTATATTAAATGTATATTGCATGTACACAATTGCCAGTACACATAGGAGGTCACATAATGATTTTTCTTGAAGAGAACCTACATTTAGGGAAACCTGTACAGCTGTACACCGAAAATCTATGGTAGGCATCATATTCAGCATATGCATGTGCATAAACTCATTTACAGATAATGAAAACACTCACCATAAATTTCTTTCTTTCTTTCAACACATCGGCCGTATCCCACCAAGGCAGGGTGGCCCAAAAGGAAAAACGAAAGTTTCTCCTTTTACATTTAGTAATATATACAGGAGAAGGGGTTACTAGCCCCTTGCCCCTGGCATTTTAGTTGCCTCTTACAACACGCATGGCTTACGGAGGAAGAATTCTGTTCCACTTCCCCATGGAGGTAAGAGGAAATAAACAAGAACAAGAACTAGAAAGAAAATAGCAGAAAACCAAGAGGGGTGTGTATATATATGCTTGTACATGTTTGTGTAGTGTGACCTAAGTGTAAGTAGAAGTAGCAAGACATACCTGTAATCTTGCATATTTAGGAGACAGACAAAAGACATCAGCAATCCTACCATCATGTAAAACAATCACAGGCTTTCGTTTTACACTCACTTGGCAGGACGGTAGTACCTCCCTGGGCGGTTGCTGTCTACCAACCTACTACCTAGGTCACCATAAATTTTTGTTTTAAATATAAAATGCTGAAATATGTATGGGGTACTTGCCTAATCTAGGATTACATCTCTTGATGCACTCCTTACATCTCCTAGGCACTAGTAGTCGTCAGTAGAGTAGTCAGTTGTCATAGTGCCTGGTTTGTGAGAAATGGGCCTGTAGGCTGTTGCTATTGAGTGTCTAAATTGTATACTGGAATGTTGAATTTTGTAGCATAAGTGACAGTGGTGCCTAGTTTCCATTGTCCATGTAATTGGTTGAAGCTTAGGTTATAAATGAGGCATGTGGCTTTGATCTTTCTTTTGAAGACCAAGCTATTATGTGCAGGAGTCATCCCTGTTGATGTAGTGGATTTGTTGTACATATTGGAATATGGCAGTGTTATTCTGAGCATGTTGGTCTACTTAAGTTAGGATTTTAATATTTAGATATTGCCTACTATATCTTTTTTAAGAGGCATTACATTGTTTTCATAGTATTGCATAAACCCCTGATGTGTATGGGAACTGGTTTTGTGTTTGCTGAAGATGTTTGAGAGTTCTTTGGGTGGGCTGGGGACCTTTCTTGATATCCATGGGAAAGTTTGCTAAAAGTATTATTAAAAGTAGGGCTGAAGAAGGGTTGTTGAGGTGGTTTGGACAGAGAGGATGGCAAAAAATAGGATGACTTGGAGGGTGTATAAATCTGTAGTGAAGGAAAGGCAGGGCAGGGGTAGTCCTAGGAAAGATTTGAGGGAGGAGATAAAGTGTTTTGCATGTTTTGACATCCAGCAGGCATGTTTGTGTGTTAGATAGGAGTGAGTGGAGGCAAGTGGCATTTATGACTTGACATACTGTTGAAGTGTGAGCAAGGTAATATTTTGTGAGGAAATTCAGGGAAACTGGTTAGCTGGATTTGAGCCCTGGAGGTGGGAAGTACATTGCCTACACTAAAGGAGGGGATTGGGATATTTGCCTCTGGCAAGACAGTGATAGTATGAATGGTGGTGAAAGTGTTTAATTTTTCGGTCACCCTGCCTCAGTGGGAGATAGCCAGCATATTAAAAAAAAAAAAAAAAAAGCAAGCATGTACAAAATGTTCGTGTGTTGTTATAGTGTGTTAGTTCCTTGTTTGGGGATAAGACACACAGATACGACAGTCCATCTAAGACTGTAATTCTAAATTCTTTCCTTTTCTTTTGCAGATTTTTTGGTTAATCCCTCCAACAGAACGCAATCTACAACTGTATGAGCAGTGGGTCTTGTCAGGCAAGCAAAGTGATATATTCTTCGGGGATACAGTGGATAAATGTGCTCGTATAGAGCTGTATCAGGGCAACACTTTCTTTATACCCACTGGTATGTTTTGCATTAGTTTCAATTATACATATGATTTTAATTTTGAAAATCACTCTTTTTAAAGTTTTGTGTTCTGAATAAAGGCTGTTTGCATACTTTGAAAAAGTATTTTTTTTTTTCATTATTGATTAGTCTTTTAGACAGCACTTTATATCTCAATACCATTTCTACCAAGATGAAAACACATTCCTATTAGCTTTTCTGATTTTTTAAAGTGCAGTTTCAACACTTAAGAGAGGATGGAACAAAATAGAATGACTTGGAGAGTGTATAAATCTAATGGAAGGAAGGCGGGGTAGGGATCATACTAAGAAAGATTGGAGGGAGGGGGTAAAGGTTTTGTATGCAAGGGGCTTAGTCTTCCAGCAAGCATGTGTGAGCTTGTTAGATAGGAGTGAGTGGAGGCAAATTGTTTTTATGACTTGACGTGCTGTAAGTGTGAGCAAAGTAACATTTATGGAGGGATTCAGGGAAACTGGTTAACTGGACTTAAGTCCTGGAGGTGGGTAGTACAGTGCCTGTGCTCTGAAAGAGGGATGGAGATAACGTTGCAGTTTTTGAACTGTAGTGTTGGCATGCCTCTGGCAAGACAGTGATGGAGTGAATGATGATGCAAGTGTTTCTTCTTTTTTGGGTCACCCTACTTTGGTGGGAAACAACTGATGTGTTACAAAAATATTAAATTATTTTTTGTAAATTAAAGTGTGTGTAAATTTGTGGTAGAGGACAGAGATGTAGGGTTTGTCCAAGAAAGGTTGAAGGGAGGGCATAAAGGCAGTTTTAAGTGATAGGAGCTTGGGTATCCACTGGGCATGTATGAATGCATTAAATCAAGGGAATGGAAAACATTGGTTTTAAGGACATGTTCTATTTTAGCATGAGGAAAATAATTTATGAAGGAATTCAGAGAAACAGGTTATCTGGACTGAGTCCTGGAGGTAAGAGGTACAGTACTTATACTCTGAAGGAGGGGGGTGGAAATATAGTTAAGAAGGTCATTTGAACTTTGATATTTGTGCACCTCTTGCAAGATAGCTGTTGAATGAATGTTTTTTTTTTCATTCTACCTTGACATGTCTGGTATGGTTATAAAAATGAGATTTAAAAAATGGCTTTTGTTTCCCATTAGGTTGGATTCATGCTGTGTACACTCCTGAAGACTCATTAGTGTTTGGCGGTAACTTTCTGCATAGTTTTGGCATTGAGAAACAGCTCAGAGTTGCCCAGGTGGAAGATGCAACACATGTAAGGATTATATTTTTGTAAATTTATCATTGTCTGTAGTGTAAATAAAGTCAATTTCTGATAGGGCAAAGTCCAGTGGGTAAATTGCACTTTTAACCTGATTAATTTTCAATATTTATTGGAGTATATCTGTAAATTGTGTGTTAAGTGCTAAATTAAGTATACAGTAGAGTAGTGCATTTCATTGCTATTATTTTTAACTTTTTTTTTTTTTTTTTTTTAATAATTTGGCCATCTCCCACCGAGGCAGGGTGACCCAAAAAGAAAGAAAATCCCCAAAAAAGAAAATACTTTCATCATTCAACACTTTCACCTCACTCATACATAATCACTGTTTTTGCAGAGATGCCCAAGACACTACAGTTTAGAAGTATATACATATAAAGATACACAACATATCCCTCCAAACTGCCAATATCCCAAACCCCTCCTTTAAAGTGCAGGCATTGTACTTTCAATTTCCAGTACTCAAGTCCGGCTATATAAAAATAATCAGTTTCCCTGAATCCCTTCACTAAATATTACCCTGCTCACACTCCAACAGCTCGTCAGGTTCCAAATACCATTCGTCTCCATTCACTCCTATGTAACACGCTCACGCATGCTTGCTGGAAGTCCAAGCCCCTTGCCCACAAAGCCTCCTTTACCCCCTCCCTCCAACCTTTTCGAGGATGACCCCTACCCCGCTTTCCTTCCCCTACAGATTTAAACGCTCTCCATGTCATTCTACTTTGATCCATTCTCTCTAAATGACCAAACCACCTCAACAACCCCTCTTCAGCCCTCTGACTAATACTTTTATTAAATCCACACCTTCTCCTAATTTCCACACTCCGAATTCTCTGCATAATATTTACACCACACATTGCCCTTAGACAGGACACGACTGCCTCCAACATGACCACCCCACCCCAACTCCTATTAGTTTGTTATATCAAAGGTTTACTGTATATTAATATCCTTCGAACTGCTTACTTGTCATACCTGTGATATTCACTGTAGGATTTAGTTTTTATACGATTTATTTTAAAGCTTTAAATGTGAACGATTGATATCCTTTCAGAAAACCTGTTCAATTATCAAAACATAAGAACATTCACAATATCACTATGAAAAATATATGTATTGTACAGATTTACTTCACTTGCTGTGGGGTAAGCGTGATTACTATTGTTACTCTCTTTCTTTGCAGGTACCATCAAAATTTCGATATCCTTTCTTCACTGAGATGCTTTGGTATGTGCTAGAGCGTTATGTACATGTTCTGCTGGGGCGAACACATCTTTCGTTGCCTCCTGATGAACAAGAAAAGTACTTAAAATATTTAGCCAGTAAAATGAAGGCCAATAACAACAACCAGCTGAATGAGGTGGGTAGAGGCTACATAGTTTAAACCAGTGCTAGTATGATTATCATATTAATTACATATGTAAAATATTTGGTAATGTATAATTTCCTTTATTGTGTGTACTGTACATCCATTGGATCCTTTATTCCCTCGAAATTTGCAAAAAGTAGTTCGTTGAATTTTATATGCTGATTTTCTGGCAGTTAATACCTGGTAATTTTTAGTAGTGGTAATATAATAAAATATAATAGGGAAATGAAAGATTGGATATCAGATTGGAGGGAGTGAGTATGGTAGAATTGAATGTATTCAGATATTTGTTAGCTGACAGGTCTTTGAAAGCTGAGGTGAATCATAAAATATAAGAGGGGAAGCAAAGGTAGGTGGCATGTTCGAAGCATTTTTGGAAAAGCAAGATGTTTATAGAGGTTAAAAGGAAATGCGATATCAAAACTTACATTAATGTGAGGTGTGAATTTTAACCCTTTGAAGGGTCAAAGAATTTAAAAATAAAGCAGATTTTCTTATGAAATGATAGAGAATTTTTTTCTATTTTTTTTATTTTTTATTATCACACTGGCCGATTCCCACCAAGGCAGGGTGGCCCGAAAAAGAAAAACTTTAACCATCATTCACTCCATCACTGTCTTGCCAGAAGGGTGCTTTACACTACAGTTTTTAAACTGCAACATTAACACCCCTCCTTCAGAGTGCAGGCACTGTACTTCCCATCTCCAGGACTCAAGTCCGGCCTGCCGGTTTCCCTGAACCCCTTCATAAATGTTACTTTGCTCACACTCCAACAGCACGTCAAGTATTAAAAACCATTTGTCTCCATTCACTCCTATCAAACACGCTCACGCATACCTGCACACAAAACCTCCTTTACCCCCTCTCTCCAACCTTTCCTAGGCCGACCCCTACCCCGCCTTCCTTCCACTACAGACTGATACACTCTTGAAGTCATTCTGTTTCGCTCCATTCTCTCTAAAGGTAATATAATGAAAAATACGAAATTTGTTGGATAAGTTATGGAATTACGCTCTTGCAAAAGTTAGCTTTCTCAGTGATGTTTACGCATCGACGATTTCGCCCACTGAGCCCTGTTTTGGACCAATTCCATTGTTCCAGTCAACCAAACTCATAGCTATTTTGCTAGTGTTCCTTTTTTTCTATCGATTGAGTACAAGAAACTGCCCATTTACCTATTTCAGCTACCCAATAAAGTGATCAGAAATTGGTAATTTGATCAATTTCACACTATCAAAAATTGCCAGTTTAAAATTAGGGCCCAGAATAAACAAAGTAGATATTCCTGGTACTTAAAAAAACATTTCCTCTGTTCATTAGTTATGTCACCAGGCCTCTTATATTACGCTTGCTTTCCATTTTGAATTTTTATTTGCACAAAAAGTAAAGAGTTACTGTTATGCAGACTACTGCATTATTGTAATTGTTTAAATGATGTCATTGCTTTCCTAAATGTGTATTAGATGGGCCAGTTGGACGTTTATTGGAAGAGTGTACTCTGGAATATTAGCAAAAATTGAACATTTCCACTACTTTCATGTCAGTTTCCAGCTACTTTCAGTCTGGAAACCAATCAGAATCATCTCTATTTCTGTAATAAATCTTCCGTTCCATCAAGTGAGACCAAGAAACCGAGAATACATCCATACAAATCATGAAAATACACTGCAAAGTCGCTGTTTTAAACCAAAAACGTGGTCACAGTTTTTTTCCCATAATGTACTGCTTGCTGCAGGATTTTTTTTTATATGGTGCACACTTACCACACAGACCCATTCTCTTCTATCTAGGCCCAAATACATATACCGCTCACAACTTATCTGGGTGAGCTGAGCTCATGGCGTAGGACAACAGGACCGACCCTGGCTTCAAAGTAGTAGAACTATGGGACCGACCTTGAAAGGGTTAAATATTATGGCAAGAAGGCTGGAGGCAGTAGAGATGTCATGTTTAAGAGCAATGTGTGGTGAGAATATTATGCAAAGAATTCAGAGTGGAAATTTAGGAGTTGCTTTGGGGTTACCAGAAGTTTAATTCAAAGAGCTGAGGAAGGGTTATTGGGGTGGTTAAAGCATTTAAAGAGAATGGAACAAAATAGCATGACTAAGAGGGTATATATATATATAAGTCTGGGGTAGAAGGTAGGAGGGGTAGGGGTCATCCCAGGAGGGGCTGGAGGGAGGAAGATACAAGAAGCTTTTGAGTGTTAGGTGTGTGAGCATCCAGTACGTTATGGTTTGAGGTGCTGTTGGGGAGTGAGAAAGTTAACATTCTTGAAGGGATTCATGGAAATGTTTTTTTTGGACTTGAGCCCTGCAGGTGGAAAGTACAGTGTCTACACTCTGAAAGAGGAGTTAGGATGTTGCAGCTAAGAGGGTCATTTGAATTATGATATCTGGACCCTTCTGCAAGATAACTATTGAATGAGTGATGAATTCATTAATTTTTTGGGGTGTTATCTTACCTCAGTGGGAGATGGTAAGCATTAAAACTGATTGGAACAGGTGTTGTGTATGAGAGGGTGTAAGTGGAATGGACAGGCAATTGGTGTAGGATTGTTATTTTGAGGGGGGGGGGTTGTAAATTTGAAAAATAAAAACGAAGTTGTAGAATTAATCTAATATGCTAATGTTAAAAGAGTTTGCATTTTAGGGTTTTCAATATATTATTGTGTTCTTATGTATAGTTAAGCAGATGTTCATAACTCCATTTCAGGTTATTAATCTTTTATTTCTTTTTCTTTAGGAAGGGAAAGAGGGAGAACCTAAATTAGATATACATATGACGATACCACCAGATAAACACATCCACCTGACTCAGTATGAACTTCATGGCCTGAAAGCCATTGTTATGTACCTTCATGCTCTCCCCAATAGTAAGAAGTGTGTGCCAGAACTCATAACTGATCCCATAGCACTGATCAGAGATGTTCGCACAGTGGTTGAGAAGCATAGATATGACAAGTCGGATCTTGCCAAGACTTCCACGCCAGTCCTAGAGTGGTGGACAAGGGTTAGTAGTGCTGGACTTGGTTTATATTTTGTTTATATATTGCAGTGTGAGATGTTACATTAGTAACTATAATTCTTTGCATACTCTCATCTTTTACTGCTATTCTTGTAGTGCAGGAGTGGGCAAAATATGGCTTGCAGGCCTATTGTGACTTAAAAGTGAATTCTGTCTGGCCATTGCCACTGTCTAACAATTCAAGAACATAGCATCTTCAGTTAAAGAAAGAATTAATTTAATTTGTCATAATCAAGTGTGGGAGTTCAACAGTCATAGTAGCAAAAACTAACAATGCTTGATGTACTTACATAACCCTTTAGCCTAATTTCAAGACTGATATATCATTGATTTCCTTAAATAACAAAAAAAGGCACAATACCGTGACTGGAACGATACACAAATAACCCGCACATAAAAGAGAGAAGCTTATGACGACGTTTCAGTCCGACTTGGACCATTTACAAAGTCACACTGTAACTTTGTAAATGGTCCAAGTCGGACCGAAACGTCATCGTAAGCTTCTCTCTTTTCTGTGCGGGTTATTTGTGTATTGATTTCCTTCCTTCATATTATTCCTGAGGTGAGTGTATGTCATTGCCACCTGTGCTCTCACACTTGTACCTTCAGGTTTCTGCCTGGTAGCCTAGGAATTCTCTTACGTTTAATTTTTTTATTTACTTCTGGCCGAGAGGAAGTGTACAAGTCACTTCATCTTCGAATTTACTTGTTTAAAAAAATTATGAATGATCAAACATGATGGCCATGGTTGCCTCTCCTTTCTCAGCTGAGGTTGATAAAATTCCAGTTGACCTTCAACTCAAGTTTATTGACTTGCAGTCCCTTTATAGGAAGTTCCCTGTAGCTTGTGAGGAGCTCTTGTTCCAAGGAATTGGACTTTTTCTCATTGGATTTAATGTGATTACTTTTTATTCTCTAGGCATTATATGACTCCTGCAGGGTTAGTCCTTCCTCTAAATATAATTAACTTGCAATGTGATCAGTTGCTTTGGAGCAGTTTAGGTCACTAGTGCTTGCCATTTGTTATGCCTCTTAGCTGTGCATTTCCATAATTAAAGCTCAAAGGATGTATGTTTAGTATGGGTCAACATACATACGTGAGCAACAATTTCTGGGATGAAACTGGACATTCAAAACATAAATCGGTAATGAGCAATGACCACCTTGGAGTAGTACTTAATATTGCAGCAATGGTTTGGTTAATGCACCTCATTGCTGTCATTCTTCCTATTGAAAGAGCTTTTCACATTTTCATCAACTTAATGAATGACTCATAAAATATGGAAAAGGAAGCTTGACTAATAAATTATTTTCATTTAGATAAAACTAATTCATTTTTATTTAGCTTATTTTATCCAACATGTACATCAGCACTTCCATTCTTTTGATAGTGGCCTTTTCACATTCTCACTAAAATAAATTGCCAAATTGCCAAATAGTGGCCTGCAAGTTGTAAAACTCGCAGGCCACTGTGCTCTCCACTGAATCATACTGGCCAGCCTAACAAGAGTCATCCAACTAAGTATATACACTACATAGGAAGGGTAACATGGGCCTCCCTGAGACCACAGGTGCCTGTTATTTCAGACAAGTCTCATACCAGCATAGCTGTGGCATGCTGTAGCTCAAGTCCTCACAATGCCACCATCAGGATTCACAAAATTATAATAACACAGTTGCAAACAACCTAGGTAGTAGGTTGGTAGACAGCAACCGCCCAGGGAGGTACTACCGTCCTGCCAGGTGAGTGTAAAACGGAAACCTGTAATTATTTTACATGATGGTAGGATTGCTGGTGTCCATTTTTCTGTCTCATAAACATGCAAGGTTTCAGGTATGTCTTGCTACTTCTACTTACACTTAGGTCACACTACACATACATGTACAAGCATATACGTATATACACACCCTTCTGGGTTTTCTTCTGTTTTTCTTACTGGTTCTTGTTCTTGTTTATTTCCTCTTACCTCCATGGGGAAGTGGAACAGAATTCTTCCCCCGTAAGCCATGCGTGTTGTAAGAGGTGACTAAAATGCCAGGAGCAAGGGGCTAGTAACCTCTTCTCCTGTATATATTACTAAATGTAAAAGGAGAAACTTTTGTTTTTCCTTTTGGGCCACCCCGCCTCAGTGGGATACGGCCGGTGTGTTGAAAGGAAGAAGTTGCAAACAAATCACAGAATGGGTGGTTCGTTTTGTAGTTGTGTTATTACAAATTCGTGAATCATTCTCGCTAGTACAGTAAACCCTTGATTTAAGAGATTAATAGGAGCAGCAGGTGGCCAGTATTGACAATTGTAGTGGATAGAGGGGAGATTGTTTTGCTATGATCATATCAATAATAGACAATTTCTGTAAGAAATTGATTCAATGGATTTCAGAGCATTGAAATTACTAGGTGAAATGGGATTTCTAAAGGTATAATTCAAAGAGTTGAGGAGGGGCTGTTGAGGTGGTCTGGGCATTTGGAGAGAATGGAGCAAGATAAGATGACCAAGAGGGGGTGTAATTCTGGGATGAAGGGATGGAAGGGTAGGGGTCCCAGGAAGGAAGGGTAGGGGTTAAAAGTTTTGAGTGCTAGGGCATTGAGCATCCAATAGGCTTGTGTGAGCATATTAGATCAGAGTGAATGGGGACAAATAGTCTTTGTGGCTATTGGATTGTGAGTAAGGTAAAATCCCCTATGAAGGGATTCAGGGAAACCAGTTAGCTGGACTTAGGTTCAGAGGATTATTCGAATTGTAATAATTGCCCACTTATGGTAAGACACCTATTTGAAAGAATGATGGTAAATGTGTTTTCTTTTATTGGGTCATCCTGCCATGGTAGGAGATGCCTGGTATGTAAAAAAAAAAAATCCAAAGGTAATTAAATAAAGGGTTTGCTTCTTTCTTCTTTCAACACACCGGCCGTATCCCACCGAGGTGGGGTGGCCCAAAAAGAGAAATGACAGTTTCTCCTTTTACATTTAGTAATATGTACAGGAGAAGGGGTTATTAGCCCCTTGGTCCTGGCATTTTAGTCGACTCTTACGACATGCATGGCTTATGGAGGAAGAATTCTGTTCCACTTCCCCATGGAGATAAGTGGAAATAAACAAGAACAAGAACTAGTAAGAAAAATAGAAGAAAACCCAGAAGGGTCTGTATATATATGCTTGTACATGCATGTGTAGTGTGACCTTAATGTAAGTAGAAGTAGCAAGATCTACCTGAAATCTTGCATGTTTATGAAACAAAAGACACCAGCAATCATACCATCATGTAAAACAATTACAGGCTTTTGTTTTACACTCGCTTGGCAGGACGGTAGTACCTCCCTAGGCAGTTGCTGTCTACCAACCTGCTACTTAGGATAAAAATGCATATATTGAATAAATGTGTATTCAGATTTGTTGGTTTGATCTAATTTTAAACTGATGTCAAAAATGTTTCTTAATCTTTTTATGTACAAATGGAAGACATAAGCATTTACAATTTTACGTCAGAAGTGGTGTGGCCTGTGAAGCTTATCTGAGAAGGTTGATCTGGTGATGTGGCCAGTTATTTAACAGTTGGTCTCTCTCTCTCTCTCTCTCTCTCTCTCTCTCTCTCTCTCTCTCTCTCTCTTCTCTTCTCTCTCTCTCTCTCGCTCTCTCTCTCTCGTCTCTCTCGCTCTCTCTCGCTCTCTCTCGCTCTCTCTCGCTCTCTCTCGCTCTCTCTCGCTCTCTCTCTCTCTCTCTCCTCTCTCTCTCTCTCTCTCTCTCTCTCTCTTTCCTCTCTCTCTCTTTTCCTCTCTCTCTCTTTCCCCCCTCTCTCTTTCCTCTCTCTTCTTTCCTCTCTCTCTCTTTCCCCTCTCTCTCTTTCCTCTCTCTTTCCTCTCTCTTTCCTCTCTCTTTCCTCTTTTTTTCCTCTCTCTCTCCTCTCTCTGTCTCTCTTTCCTCTCTCTCTCTCTCTCTCTCTCTCTCTCTCTCTCTCTCTTCTCTCTCTCTTTCCTCTCTCTTTCCTCTCTCTCTCTCTTTCCTCTCTCTCTCTTTCCTCTCTCTCTCTTTTCCTCTCTCTCTCTCTTTCCTCTCTCTCTCTTTCTCTTTTCCCCTCTCTCTCTTTCCTCTCTCTTTCTCTCTCTTCCTCTCTCTCTCTCTTTCCTCTCTTTCTTTCTTTCTATCTCTCTCTCTCCTTTTTTTTTTTTTTACACAGGGTTTGACAAGGTTAAGGACCCCTAGCTTTATTGACAGCTATTTAAGGTTAAGGATTCCTAACTTTATTGGCAAGCTAAGAGCTGTTACCTACATCAGCTCATTTAAAAGCATTTTTATTGTTATGAGACTTTACAAGTGGGGAAAACAGGATGAAGTTGGAGCCATCTGTGGGCCAGCATTTTCATTTTGATCAACTGAGTATCTCGTTGACATCATTATGCTGTACGAATGTGTTCCATACTCGAGTCATCCTGGTAGGGTATGATCTCAGATGGAGTGATGTTCTGGAGAAGGGTACAGCCAGAGTGAAGTTGCTGTTTTCCCTGCCCGTTTGTGGCATAAAAGCTTGTTTCACGCTGTCCTCGAAGTGGATCCAAGTGTGGTATTTTGACAATATTGGTTTGGTACATAACAGTAAGGCCACCCACATCCCTCCTTGTTGAAGGCTCTGCTGAAATGACAGATCTATCCAGGATGGGTCCAGGCGAGAGATGAGACGTCTTGCTTGTTCTTACTCTGTCAAGCAGTCGCAGATGAGAGGGGGGGCAGGCAAACCAAGAAAGTGGAGCATCAAGGTGCAAGCGTACTTGTCCCTCGTACAGGATCTTGCAACCCCTCTGTCAAGCAGATGGGAGATCGGCGAAGTGCTGTAAGCTTCCTGGCTGCCTTGTTTGCAAGATTTACAACATGGTTCTTCATGGTTAGTTTGGAGTCAAATTTCACCCCAAGGATATCAACTTCTTCTCAGGTGCCAACATCCTCCCATTCATCCTTATACTGCACCAGCATTACCATCATAGTGCCTAGAGACGATCATCATTTGCGTTTTCTCAGGTGCAAATGTTACTTGCCATCTATTTTCCCAAGCTGATATAGCTCTCAGTGGTGATTGATGTAGCTTAGAGTAGCTGGCGTTTCTTCTCTTGGATTAGTGAATGTTTAGTGTACAGTCGTTTGCATATGCATGTTTATCTGGATGAGATGAAGGAGGTGTTGAAGTAGACATTCCATAACAGTGGACCCAGCACGCTTCCTTGTGGAACACTTGCCCCAATAGGATGTCTTGCTGATTCCGTTCCATCGAGAACTACACTTAGAGATCTACCATGAAGGTAGTCACTGAGGAGACATAGCGTAGAGCCTGCAATTCCCAGTGCTTGAAGTTTTGCTAAGAGGCTCTGGTGCCACACCCGGTCGAAAGCGCCAGCAATGTCCAGTGCTACCACACAGCTGATGCCACTTAGTGGAGAGGTTTAACAACAAATCAGCAGCAGAGTAACCTTTCCTGAAGCCATATTAACGATCACAAAGTAGTGAGTGGTAGTCAAAAAACTCTGTCATTTGACTTGAGATTATTGTCTCAAGGATCTTACCAGTGATTGACAGGAGTGACACTGGTCTGTAGTTGCTGATTTCTGCTCTGCTCTTCTTTTTGTGAACAGGGACTACATTCGCCTCTTTCCATAGAGAGGGCCATTTACACTGTACTAGGCAGTGCTGAAAGATGCGAGTTAGAGGTGCTGCTAGCTGGTCTGCACATCTTCTCAACAATCTTGGGCTCAACTTGTCTGGGCCCACAGCCTTTTCTTGGTCAAGCGATTTAAGTAGGAAATGCACCACCTCCTGCCTTATTGTCACCACTGACAGTTTTGACACAGTTCTTGCAGCTAGCCAAGGAGGGTCCCTTGCTGGATCAGGAACTTGCATTTTGGTAGCAAAGTGTTCAGCAAAGAGGTCCGCCTTCTCTTGACTACTAGTAGAGGTGGTCCCATCCTGTCGATTTAGAGGTGGAATAAGTTCATCAGGCAGATAACCTTGTCTGTCCTTGACCAGGGACCACCAGGTTTTGGAGCCTACCCTACCTGATGCTAACTTTCTTTTAGTGTCCACCTCCCATTTAGCAATGGCCCACTTTTGAACATCACCCATATGCCTATCTCTCTCTCTCTCTATCTGTACAGGTCTCCCTCAACATTTGCATTTTCCACTTCAGTGGGCTTTGGACATTCGCGAATTCTCAGCACCCCAGTCATATTTAGAGTGTCATTACATATGTTAGGAATTGTGGCGGTGGCAGAGTTTGTTTGGAGATAGGACAAGATAGTCCTTCAACATGACACTAATATCAACTCTACGGCTTATTTATCTATCACAATTCATCTAATATGACATAATAAACAATATTAATAACATAGAACATGACATGTATTCTAGAATGAATAAAATACGTCATTAAGTATGTCACGAGTGTTGTGTTGGTGTTGGGTGTATAAGGGCCACTGAGACATCAGCCTTACATAGTGGTGGTGAAGATGGTAGACACTAGAGATGGCGGTGTTTTCAGTCACCCTAAATAACTCCAGCAACGTTGGAGGAGTTAGGTTCGTGCTGTCCTTTTTCTATTGATTAATTGCTTAACTTACTTGCTACACTGTTAATGCTACACTTTATCACTGGCTGGCGCTATAGCCTTTATCGACTTGTGCTGCTTTAGTATCGTACATATCATAGAATCACTGAAGAAGGCACATTCTCCCCTCTCTCTTCCTCCTCCACTTTGGTACTCTGCTACGAGTTCTATCTTGAATTCTATAGTTTCTCACCTTTACCAAAGTAACAAAAATAGGCACAATACCGTGACTGGAACTATACACAAATAACCCACACATAGAAGAGAGGAGCTTACGACGACGTTTCGGTCCGACTTGGACCAGTGTGACTTTGTAAATGGTCCAAGTCGGACTGAAACGTCGTCGTAAGCTCCTCTCTTCTATGTGCGGGTTATTTGTGTAGCTTTACCAAAGGGCTGGCACTAGTACAATATTTTACGATGTTTTCATGTGTTTCATGATTGTTCATGGTTTAATAGGTTAAGGAAGCAGTATTGTATTATATTTCCCTACAATATATTGAGGTACCAAACATTTACGGTTTTTCAACATTTGCCAGGTTCTTGATCCCCTAACCCTTGTGAATGTTGAGGGAGACCTGTATCTCTCTTTCTCTTTTTCTCTCTCTTCTCTCTTTTTCTCTTTCTTTCTCTTTCTCTCTCTGATAATTTTTGTTTATTTCACTGGTTAGTAATGTTACCTCTTTACAGACAAGATTTTTTTATTTTTTTTAATGAGATTTTTACCCAATTTTTTTTAACCCTCAGGAACCCACAAAATTTGGAGTTAAACGGCCTTTGGGAGAAAATACTGGAGGTGGAATAAAGAGAAGACGTAGGAATTCTGACGAAAATAGAATTGTTGGATTACCTCCCAATGCTGCAAAAGTCCGGCACAGAAGAGTTAGATGTAAGGGTTTTTCTCTGAATTAATTTTTTATTAATCATTGCTAAAGATTGCAGGGCAGTGCTCTGTGACCCATACAGGTTTATCTCTTATTTTTAATGTAATAATTATGTTGAGGTGGTTTGGGCATTTTGAGAGAATGAAGTAGAATACAATGACCAAGTGTGTGTGTAAATCAGGTGGAAGGAAGGAAGGGTGGGGGCAATCCCAAGAAGGGTTGGAAGGGAGGGGGTAAAGGTGATGTCGAGTACTTGGGACTTGCGCACGTAGGAGGCTTATGAGAGTATGGTTTATTAGTGTAGTGGTGTCTTCATATTTCTGGCAAGACAGCTATTGAAGGAATGATTTTTTTTTTGGGTGGGGGATGGAAAAGGGTGATCACCTTATCTTTGTAGGAGATGGCTGGTATGTTAAAAAAAAAAATAAACTGTATATTGTGGTATTTTCTATATGGCCACCTCTATAAATTCAAGGGGGATAAGGGGCAGTTACATTTGTAGAGGTCATATAAAATTGTTTATCATAAATAATGTACATTTGTTTTAATAATTTTAACAAGTTTTTGCATGAGTACAAGTAGAATTTAAAAAATACACTTTCTTGACCAAATTGTGTAACAAACACACATGATTTATGGATTTAGAAAAGGCATATGATAGAGTGGATAGGGGAGCAATGTGGCAGATGTTGCAAGTGTATAGAATAGGTAGTAAGTTACTAAGCGCTGTTAAGAGTTTTTACGAGGATAGTGAGGCTCAGGTTAGGGTGTGTAGGAGACGGAGATTACTTCCCAGTAAAAGTAGGTCTTAGACATGGATGTGTAATGTCCCCATGGTTGTTGAACATATTTATAGATGGGTTTGTAAAATAAGTTGGGGAGTGGGGTGGGATTACATTTTTTTTTTTTTCAACAAGTCGGCTGTCTCCCACTGAGGCAGGATTAAATTATGGGAATCAAATTCAAAATGGGAGTTGACGCAGTTACTTTTTGCTGATGATACTGTGCTTTTGGTAGATTCTAAAGAAAAGTTGCAAAGGTTAGTAGATGAGTTTGGGAGGGTGTGTAAATGGAGAAAGTTGAAAGTGAACATAGATAAAGAGTAAGGTGATGAGGGTATCAAATGATTTAGATAAAAAAAATTAGATATCACATTGGAGGTAGGGAGGGAGTATGAAAAAAGTAATTGTGTTCAGATATTTGGGAGCTGACTTGTCAGCAGGTGGGTTTATGAAAGATGAGGCTAGGCATACAATTGATGAAAGGAAAAAGGTGAGTGGTGCTTTGAGGTATGTGTGGAGACAAAAAAACATTATCTATGGAGGCAAAGCAGGGAATGTACGAGAGTATAGTGGTACCAACACACTTGTGTGGGTGTGAAGCATGGGTTGTGAATGCTGCAGCAAGGAGGGGGCTGGAGGGAGTGGAGATGTCAGGTCTAAAAGCAGTGTGTGATGTAAATATTATACAGAGAATTTGTAGCATGGAAATTAGAAGGTGTGGAGTTAAGTATTAGTCAGAAGGCTGAAGAGGGGTTATTGAGGTGGTTTGGGCATTTAGAGAGGATGGAACAAAGTAGGAGGAGTTGGAGAGCATATAAATCTGTAGAGGAAGGAAGGTGGGGTAGGGGTCATCCTAGGAAAGGTTGGAGGGAGGGGGTAAAGGAGGTTTTGTGTGTGAGGGGCTTGGACTTCCAGCAAGCGTGCATGAGTGTGTTAAATAGGAGTAAATGGAGATGAATGGTTTCTGGGACCTGATGAGCTGTTGGAGTGTGAGCAGGGTAATATTTTGTGAAGGGATTCAGGGAAACCGATTAGCCAGACTTTAGTCCTGGAAGGTGGATGATAAAGTGCCTGTCACTTTCAAGGAGGGTTTGGGTATTGCTGTTTGAGTGGCTTCTAAACTGTTGTATCTGAGTGCTCTGCAAAGACAGTGTTATGTCTGATGTGGTGAAAGTTTTGAATGATGTATGAAGGTTTTCCTTTCTTTTTGGGTCACCCTGCCTTGGTTTGAAATGGCCAGTGTTAAAAAAAAAAATAAAAAGTGGTGCAAAAATTTAGTTTTCAAGATCTCAATTGTTCTTCCTGTACAGAATTGCCATAATTTTAAGTTGGATTGCTTGTGAGGGGCATTTTCCAATGTTCCTCTGCTTTTGTTTTTCAAGTGGGGTTTCTTAATGAAGGGCTCTTGATCCAAGGACAAAGATGCCCACCCCATATCAGTCCATGACTGCCTCCAGTTTTCAAGGTGCTTTATTATTCTTATGGGTTTAGTTTTTTCCATGAAGGTGCTAATCTATTTTTCCTTGTTCTTTTGAAATCTATATCAAGAGCTTTTATATCTTTCAAGCAACTTGCTAAAATTTGGATGAATTCCTCTTTCATCTCTAATCTTTGAGTACATTCAGAAAATTGTCTTTACTTAGTTCTAAGGTTTAATTTTCTAAACAGTGAGGAACTAATGATGCTGTTTGGATCAAGCACTGAATAAATTTTCAAAAAGTCTGAAAGCTCATCTTCTGTTGGATCTGGTACATGTTATTTTTGTCCCACTTAAGCAACTATATTTCCTTCAGTTTTCTGCAAAATTGCTTCTATATAAAATTGCTTCTATACAGAAAAAAGTAGCAGCTATTGATTGGTGGCTCATTGTCGAATAGTGTGTGTTTACGTATTTCATTAGATTAGTGGATAACGTATAGTGTCCCAGTAGATTGCTTACTGAACACATTTGTTTACCTGCTAAATATGTGACAAATACATGCAAATTTCATTTTAATTTGACAAGGCATATGTCATTTTAGTCGCATAGGAACTGTTTACAGTACTATATGCATTGAGACCTTTATAGCTTTTTAAATCCTCTGATGTATATGGACTTCCTGAAAAATGAAGTAGTTCATGATGTATTTTAAATTTCCTTCATATTTCACTTTCCTACAGTTGAAGACACTACTAAAGTGGCTTCTTTCATTGTCCTAAAGTACCTTCCTTTATTTAATGATAATTTCTGTAGTCTGTGACAGTATATACACTCATCCGAGTTGCTGTACCTACCTATATGTGGTTGTAGTTGCCAAGTCACAGTTCCTGGTTAACTATGATGTGTGTGAAAACAGTATAGCTATCATGGGGAAGGTGTTAGTAGCAGGTTAAATAAAGTACATTATCATGACCATGTATGTAATTTTTATTTTTTTTATTATCACACTGGCCGATTCCCACCAGGGCAGGGTGGCTCGAAAAAGAAAAACTTTCACCATCATTCACTCCATCACTGTCTTGCCAGAAGGGTGCTTTACACTACAGTTTTTAAACTGCAACATTAACACCCCTCCTTCAGAGTGCAGGCACTGTACTTCCCATCTCCAGGACTCGACTCCGGCCTGCCGGTTTCCCTGAACCCCTTCATAAATGTTACTTTGCTCACACTCCAACAGCACGTCAAGTATTAAAAACCATTTGTCTCCATTCACTCCTATCAAACCTTCTCACACATGCCTGCTGGAAGTCCAAGCCCCTCGCACACAAAACCTCCTTTACCCCCTCCCTCCAACCTTTCCTAGGCCGACCCCTACCCCGCCTTCCTTCCACTACAGACTGATACACTCTTGAAGTCATTCTGTTTCGCTCCATTCTCTCTACATGTCCGAACCACCTCAACAACCCTTCCTCAGCCCTCTGGACAACAGTTTTGGTAATCCCTCACCTCCTCCTGCTAACTAAAATTTTAATGCTTATCATAATTTTATTTGGATTGATTAACCTTTACAATCTTTTATCATTACCAATGTGTGCATTTTTTTTTTTTTGGAGGCGGAGGGAGAGGGAGGGGACAGCCATGGTGTTGGTCACATGATGGGTCAGGTGTTATGTGCTTTGCATGGAAAACTTTATTGTCATATTCATTTTACAGGTAAATTATGTGAATCTTGTCTACGTGAAGACTGCAAAAAATGTGGGTTCTGTCTAGATATGGTAAAATATGGAGGCCCAGGTACCATGAAGCAAACTTGTAAAATGAAAAAATGTTCACAGGTGAGGATTATGGTATAATCTTTTCAATTCTCTAATTTAAAATTTAATAATGCTTTGTTTTTCCTGTACTATACATTGAGCAGGATCGTATTCTCCAGTGGTGTATTAATTATATTTTTCAAGTTGAGAAAAAAGCAGTTTTTTTTTTTTCAACAAGTCGGCCGTCTCCCATCAAGGCAGGGTGACCCAAAAAAGGAAGAAAATCCCCAAAAAGAAAATACTTTCATCATCATTCAACACTTTAACCACACTCACACATTATCACTGTTTTTGCAGAGGTGCTCAGAATACAACAGTTTAGAAGCATATACGTATAAAGATACACAACATATCCCTCCAGATTGCCAGTTAACCTTAATAAACCTTAATAAACTGTCTAAAGGTCTAAAATAAACGTGCCCTCAATTTTGAATAAAAAGAGAAAAGTTATTTTATCTTGTCAAAAAACTTTCCCAAGTTTAGAAGTGTAAGAAGAAAATTTGATTATTACTGTACATGATGGTTTGAAGTTGACATTGGTGATGGATTTCTAGCAATATGAGTGCTTGCTGTGTGAAGGAAGTGTTCTGTTTTAACTTTTTATAATTTCCATGTTTTCTAATTATTTTTTATGGATCATATGTTTTATGCATCTAGAGTGTCATATCTGGGCATCTCTGAAAAGATAGTGATTTTGTGTGAATAATGGTGCTTTGGAAAGTTTCCAAACGGAACTGAGAGAGAGATGCAGATCTCACTGCGACACACCAAATTTCACTTGTAGAAATAAAGATTGGTGTTGTTATTATTATTATTATTATTATTATTATTATTATTATTATTAAACACCATGGGGAGGGTGCTCCATAAATCTGTATATGGTGTCAGTGTTTTGGGTGCTTGGATAGATTTCTTCTTTCTTTCTTTCAACACACCGGCCGTATCCCACCGAGGCGGGGTGGCCCAAAAGGAAAAACGAAAGTTTCTCCTTTCAAATTTAGTAATATATACAGGAGAAGAGGTTACTAGCTCCTTGCTCACGGCATTTTAGTCGCCTCTTACAACATGCTTGGCTTACGGAGGAAGAATTCTGTTCCACTTCCCCATGGAGATAAGAGGAAATAAACAAGAACAAGAACTAGAAAGAAAATAGAAGAAAACCCAGAGGGGTATGTATATATATGCTTGTAATGTTGCACCCTGCCAGGGTTGGGGGACGGCCCGACTTGTGAAAAAAAAAAAAAAAATGTAGTGTGTGTGACCTAAGTGTAAGTAGAATAGCAAGACTTACCTGAAACTTGCATGTTCAGAGACAGAAAAAAGGACACCCAATACTACCACATTTTAAAAAACAATTACAGGTTTTTCTTTTACATCACTTGGGAGGACGGGAGTACCTCCCTGGGGGCTGCTGCTACCAACCTACTACCCATAATGGATAATTTATACGTACTAATTCTACCTGACCCTGTGTTGATAAAATGTTCATCTTGCATTATGCAGAGTTTGTGAAGGTTTTTTTCCCCAAAAAACAAAGCCTTACATAGTGACAAAATGTTTCAGTTGGTGCAGTAAAAAAACTTAACAGCAAAGCTCCCATTTTCATTAAAAAACACCCTTTTTTAAACAAAAAACTATGAGTGAAGGGAAAACGAAAGGAATGTTTTTCTACAGTTAACCTTCCCCCCCCCCTTTCCCCCATAATACTAAACATGGAACGTCTGGTATGACCTAAATTTTTTTCCCAAAACCTGGTCGAACCGATTTTTCTTGACCCAAATTTTAAAAAAATTAATTGAATTTTAAAAAAAATTAATTCGTTCCCGACCCCCAGAACTGTAGAAATAGTGTTTTTTTTTTTTTAATTTTTTAAGCACAAAAAAATTAATTACACCATAGAATCAAGTAAAATAAAAGTAAAAACCTTTTATTTATTTTTTTTATTTATTTATTTAGTAATTTGAGCATAATACAGAGGTAAAAAAAAATCAGGGAAGAGCAGCATGCCAAAGCCACTTTTATGCATAGCATTAGGGGGGCTTAAAATTAACTTGAGATTAACTAAGCAATGATGAAATCTGATAAGACATTATTGTAAACAGATAACTTTAAAACACAAATGAGTTTACAAAGACGGGTCATATGGTTCAGCATTGCTGTCATCAGTCAAATGGATTATTCTGTTAGATTGGGTTTTGGGTTTAACATTTATGTTATAAATTGTGGAACATTTAAGATATACAATTTAAAGTTCTTATTCATATTTTTTTGGGTTTTGGGTAAGAAATGACTTTGAAAGGACTTGAATTTAAAAACAGGTAGTTTTCTTTATATTTACAGGTAAGAATTCCCGATTTTTGGTCTTTTATGTGCATTGAGTTTTTGCATAGCGGAGATGACACGAGGAACATCAAAAGTGATTGTGCTTTTTTTGGGGATGTGTTCTGTTGAGGGTTGGCAAGGGGATTTTGAGGGGAGGGGTTTATCAGAGATAAGTGTTCTTGTATGTAAAAGGTGCAAAAAATAAGTAGGGTGTTTTCTATGGTGAGTAGGTTGAGTGTTTTTAATATTGGTGGGTGTGCTGCCCGTAGTGAGAATTTGTTTATCATTTAACGCATCTTTTGGTTGGGTAATAGTGGTCTGAGATGGTTTAAATTTTTGTTGAGCCCCATGCACAAATTCCCCTAGGGGAGATAGGGGGAAATAAGGAGTGATATGGGGCAGGGGGTACTGTGGAGCATAGTAAACCTATCTTTGAAGTAAAGCCTCGGGAAATTTTTTTAGAAATTTGTTGTATAATGTATGAAAATTTGGCTATTATCAAGGGGGATTCCTAAGAAATTTTTCCCCCTTTTTGCTTTGTATAGGTGATCCGTTTTCATAGGGTTTAAAGGGACATCTGTAGCTTGTTACCAAACTGAATGAAATAGGGTTTTGCAATGTTTAGTGTAAATTTGTTAGTCCTCATCCAGGAGATATTTTCTGTAATTCGGTATTACAGTATTGGCTAGCGTGACTGGGGTCGGGTGAGAGAAACGTATTAGTGTCATCTGCAAATAGTGTGGGGTTTTGGGAATTTTGAAGCATTTGGTAGGTCATTTATGTATAGGGGAAAAAGAAAGGGCCCAAGGAACTTCCCTGGGACACCAAATTAATTGGTTTGCGGAAGACTTGCCCCCCTTTTTCGTACAATATTGGTTCTGTTTTGAGGTATGACTTGAGGTATTTGAGGGATGCCCTCTTTACCATAGTTGACAATTTACGTGGAGCAAGCATGGTAACTGTATCAAAAGTTTTACGTAAGTCAATGAAGATCCCCGGGGGACTTCTTTTTTCTCTTTTGCAGTGTATTTGTTTTAGATGTGTATAATAGCATATTAGTATTTTTTTTTAAAGCCTTAACCCAAATTTGGCAGGGTTGAGTATGTTTTGGGATGGGTAGGAGTAATTCGTTTATGAATTTAATTTTTGAAGATTTTGAGAGAGGGGGTAAAATTTGGGTATTGGGCCCATAGTTATTTAAATCTGGGCTCCTTTATGGATCGGGGTGACCCCTTTCATTTTTAGAACTGTGGGGAAGGTGGAGGATTCAAGGGATTTGTTAAAGGGTTTCAATGAATTTGGGGATAGCACTTGTGAATTTTTGTATATAATGGTGGTAAGGGATTTAAATCTCCTGCCGTTTTTTTTAGTGCGTTGATAATAAGGGAGACTTCGTATGGGTAGTCGGAGCTAGGAGCAGTGTGTTCGGGTAGTTGCCAGTGAGGTAGTCATTTGGTGGGTATCTGAGCTTGGGATTTTATTGGCAAGGTTTTGTCCTATAGTGGAGAAGAAATCATTGAGTCTGTTTGCTGTTTCTGTTGGTGGGAGTTGGGGTTCATCTGATTTTGCTAATTTATTTCGCTATTTCGTGATATCTTTTTTGTTCCCAGAATTTCTGATAGGGTTTTCCAGGTCTTTTTTATATCACCTCGTAAGTTGGATAATCTGTTCTCATAATACAATTTTTTAGCCCTTCTTATCAGGCTGGTTAGGATTAGTGAGTAACATTTTGTTTGGTCCTGCTTATGTGACCCATTCTGTACTGTTTTTCATATCGGTGTTTTGTATTTATGGATTTGAGAATGCTGGGTGTTAGCCAGGGACTGTTCAGTCTCTTAGCTGTCATCTGTTTAGTTTTTTTAGGGCAGTGCTTGTTATAGAGGTACAGTGGACCCCCGCTTAACGATCACCTCCAAATGCGACCAATTATGTAAGTGTATTTATGTAAGTGCGTTTGTACGTGTATGTTTGGGGGTCTGAAATGGACTAATCTACTTCACAATATTCCTTATGGGAAAAAATTCGGTCAGTACTGGCACCTGAACATACTACTGGAATGAAAAAAGTTCGTTAACCGGGGGTCCACTGTATTGGGTCTTTTTTAGAAAATTATTAAAACATTCGTCAATATCTGTATAGATTTCTAGCTCAGTGTGCCAGTCAATGTTTGTTACTGCTGTTGTGAAGTTATTAATGGCTGCCTCATTGTGAAGTCTGAAGGTGACTTTAGTAGTGTCTTGGGGTAATTTACCAAGAGTTGTTATGAGGAAAGTAGGGTAGTGGTCTGTGGTATTATCTGTAATTATGCCTGATTTTAAAGGGGATATGGTGTTGGTCCAGATGGTCTCCGTAACTCTTGTAGGTTTTGTTACTGTTGGTAGCAACATGCAGTTACTCATTGTGTTTGTGAATTCAGTAACGTGTGGGTCCTGGTCTTGCAGGAGATTTATATTGAAGTCACCTGAGTGTAGTAAGTGATCTTTGTTCATGCGTGCATCAGTTATCATACTTCCTAGGTTTTGACTAAATTGGCTAATGTTTGACTGTGGAACTCTGTAGATGTTTATCAATGTGAGAGGTTTTTGTAGGTATTTGGATTTGAATTTAGCTATTATATATTATATATTCCACCTTGAATAACACTGAGAAAATCTTGAATAACAGAGAAAGCTATCATTGCACAAGTCCTAAGAGTTTTAATGGCTGAGCAGTAAACTCTGTTATTTATTGTCCGATTTCATTCATTTTTGGCGTACGTTAAGAAAGATCTTTCCATCATACTTTGCCCAAGTTTCAATAAGATAGCCCAACAAACAACTGAGATTTTTTTTTTTTTTTTTTAACAAGTCGGCCGTCTCCCACCGAGGCAGGGTGACCCAAAAAAGAAAGAAAATCCCCATAAGAAAATACTTTCATCATCATTCAACACTTTCACCACACTCGCACATTATCACTGTTTTTGCAGAGGTGCTCAGAATACAACAGTTTAGAAGCATACACATATAAAGATACACAACATATCCCTCCAAACTGCCAATATCCCAAACCCCTTCTTTAAAGTGCAGGCATTGTACTTCCCATTTCCAGGACTCAAGTCCGACTATATGAAAATAACCGGTTTCCCTGAATCCCTTCACTAAATATTACCCTGCTCACACTCCAACAGATCGTCAGGTCCCAAGTACCATTCGTCTCCATTCACTCCTATCTAACACGCTCACGCATGCTTGCTGGAAGTCCAAGCCCCTCGCCCACAAATCCTCCTTTACCCCCTCTCTCCAACCCTTTCGAGGACGACCCCTACCCCGCCTTCCTTCCCCTATAGATTTATATGCTTTCCCCTCTTCTGCCCTCTTACTAATACTTTTATTAACTCCACACCTTTTCCTAATTTCCACACTCCGAATTCTCTGCATAATATTTACACCACACATTGCCCTTAAACAGGACATCTCCACTGCCTCCAACTGTCTCCTCGCTGCTGCATTTACCACCCAAGCTTCACACCCATGTAAGAGTGTTGGTACTACTGTACTTTCATACATTCCCTTCTTTGCCTCCATAGATAACTTTTTTTGACTCCACATATACCTCAACGCACCACTCACCTTTTTTCCCTCATCGATTCATTGATTAACCTCATCCTTCATAAATCCATCCGCTGACACGTCAACTCCCAAGTATCTGAAACATTCACTTCTTCCATACTCCTCCTCCCCAATTTGATATCCAATTTTTCTTTATCTAAATCATTTGACACCCTCATCACCTTACTCTTTTCTATGTTCACTTTCAACTTTCTACCTTTACACACATTCCCAAACTCATCCACTAACCTTTGCAATTTTTCTTTAGAATCTCCCATAAGCACAGTATCATCAGCAAAAAGTAACTGTGTCAATTCCCATTTTGAATTTGATTCCCCAAAATTTAATCCCACCCCTCTCCCGAACACCCTAGCATTTACTTCCTTTACAACCCCATCTATAAATATATTAAACAACCATGGTGACATTACACATCCCTGTCTAAAACCACATATGTCAAGCCCTAGCCGGGTACTGGCACTGTGAGAAGCTGTTTTGGCACTACCTGCTGATAAAACATTGCTACTCCGAATTTGTCACGGTCATAATTACAGGAAGTGGGGAAAATTGGAGTGTGCAAAAAAAATGGCATGGAAAATGAAAATTGGTGCTGTTGTGTTTGTTTTTCACCCAATTATTTGTTCGTGACCAGATGCAAAAATTTTGCTATTTTTTGGTTGTGAATCGACTTGTTCGTGTTCGGAAGCATTTGTGACCAGAGGTTCCACTGTACACAATTTCTCTGGTGGTGGTGTACTAGAGAGAAAACATGTTATAGTAATTATTGTTGTACACTCCTTTATGCCTGCCCAGCTACACACCTCACAATTATTTTTATTTGTTCTGGTATTGTTGTCTGTTATGTTCATTGCCATTTAAAGCATCCAGGCAATTATTATTATTACTAATTATTATTATGTTTGTTATTGCATCTTCAAATAGTGTTTTTAATGTACCCGCACACCAGCACAGTTTGTAAGTGTATTTAGGTACAGGTACACATCAGTACAATTATCAGTAGTACATATCTCAGTTCTATCTCAGACATAGACATACCTTGCTCACTCAGTTTAATCATTGCTAATTTTGCACTTAAAGTAAGGACTTTATGAATCCTCTTTTTGTCACAACTACCCTTAGATGTCATTGTAACAAAAAAAAGTATATGTAAAATACACTAACTTTAAAAAAACACTTGAAACTTAAGAAAGTTTCCAGACATAATTGAGAGAGACTGAGCTTATGGAGGATGTAAACAAACAGTGATGAACGGATAGCATGAGCTTATGGAGGATGTAAACAAACAGTGATGAATGGATGGCATAATAGCAAATCAGGACCCATGTAAACAAATTTTTGGGTATAATTTGAAATGTCTGTATTAGTGAAGCGACTCTGAATTATCCATGAAATGGATATTTCAGAGTCGATGAGGGGTTATTGAAATGGTTTCATAATTTGAAAGGCTAGAGCAAGATAGCAAGATTGACCAGGAAGATGTATAAATCTGGGGTGAATGGAAGTTGGTGTAGGAAACATCCTAAGAATGATTGGAAGAGGGTTTGAAGGTTTCAGGAGGCAGGGACCTGAGCATCTGACAGGTATGTATTCTTGTTTTATTAGAGTAAAAACAAGTAGATTTTGGAGTTTTAGTTACTGTGATCGTGATGAAACACATTTGCTTGTTCAGTTTTTAAAAGTTATTTCCCGTCAGTATTTATAAGAAATGCACATTAAATCCTAGCAGTTGATAGTTTCGTTAGTTATTATCTGCATTTTCGAAAAAAACTTTTGAATAATGTAAACATTTGTATGCAAAATCAGTAAGTAGGGCTATGTAGTGTGTGAAATTCACAGCAAAACACTTGTAAACACTTGTTAGGCATTCCAGATGTGCCTCATAAATAGTTTAAGACTTTTACAAAAAAAAAAAAAAAAAAAAAAAAAAAACTAGGTAATCTTCTTCACTAGTTGAACTTTGCACAATACAAAATTGTCTTTTTTTTCTTTCTCAGATATAGAACAGTGGCAGCTAATTGAGGTGGAAATTATTCTTAAGCACATTATGTATTTATTAAAGACTAATATCAGTTATATCTAATAATTTAAAATGCAGTCCATCTTTCAGTTCCTAAGTGCTTGTCAGCTGAAAAATTTCATTTATATACTCCTGACAGCCCATACTTCCTGCTGCTGCGGTCTGTTATGAATGCCAGCTAGATGGCTGGGAACGAGTATCAAGTACACCAACACAAAAACCCCCTGCAAACATACCAAGCAGTCTCTTTGAATGCTGTGTCTGTTTCAAAATCTCCCATCTTAAATGTATCAGTAACAAAGTAAGTACACTTTAATGTTTTCACACATATTTGTTAAAAAGTTCTTAAATTTTAAATCGGTTCAGTATATACATTAGAATTATTAATTTTATTCAGTTTTAATCTTTCATTTTAAATTGTTGAGAAGCAAACTTTTTTTTTTTAACAAGTTGGCCGTCTCCCACCGAGGCAGGGTGACCCAAAAAGAAAATATTTTCATCATCATTCAACTCTTTCACCTCACTCACACATAATCACTGTTTTTGCAGAGGTGCTCAGAACACAACAGCTTAGAAGCATATACGTATATACACAACATATCCCCCCAAGCCGTCAATATCCCGAACCCCTCCTTTAGAGTGCAGGCATTGTACTTCCCATTTCCAGGACTCGAGTCCGGCTATATAAAAATAACCGATTTCCCTGAATCCCTTCACTAAATATTACCCTGCTCACACTCCAACAGATCGTCAGGTCCCAAATACCATTCGTCTCCATTCACTCCTATCAGACAAGCTCACGCACACCTGCTGGAAGTCCAAGCCCCTCGCCCACAAAACCTCCCTTACTCCTTCCTTCCAACCTTTTCGAGGATGATCCTACCCCGCCTTCCTTCCCCTACAGATTTAAATGCTCTCCATGTCAGTCTACTTTGATCCATTCTCTCTAAATGACCAAACCACCTCAACAACCCCTCTTCAGCCCTCTGACTAATACTTTTATTAAGTCCACACCACCACCTAATTTCCACACTCCGAATTTTCTGCATAATATTTACACCACCCATTGCCCTTAGACAGGACATCTCCACTGCCTCCAACCGCCTCCTCGCTGCTGCATTCACAACCCAGCTTCACACCCATATAAGAGTGTTGGTACTACTGTACTTTCATACATTCCCTTCTTTGCCTCTGTAGATAATGTTTTATGTCTCCACATATACCTCAATGCACCACTCACCTTTTTTCCCTCATCAATTCTATGATTAACCTCATCCTTCATAAATCCATCCACCGACACGTCAACTCCCAAGTATCTGAAAACATTCACTTCTTCCATACTCCTCCTCCCCAATTTGATATCCAATATTTCTTTATCTAAATCATTTGATACCCTCATCACCTTACTCTTTTCTATGTTCACTTTCAACTTTCTACCTTTGCACACACTCCCAAACTCGTCCACTTACCTTTGCAATTTTTCTTTAGACTCTCCCATAAGCACAGTATCATCAGCAAAAAGCAACTGTGTCAGTTCCCATTTTGTATTTGATTCCCCATATATTGTTAATTTTTTAGTCATTACTAAACTTTTAGCGCAAGCCCTAAAGCCACATTGACATATGACTTCGAAGGATTATGACAGTTTTTTGATGATATCTTGTACAGTGGAACCTCTAAAATCGAACTGCTTCCAACTCGACCAATTATGTAAGTGTATTTTTGTAAGTGCTTTTATAAGTGTATTTTTGAGAGTTTGAAATGGACTAATCTAATTTACATTATTCCTGATGGGAATAAATTAATTCGGTAATGGCACTTGGACAGCCTTCTGGACTGAAGAAAGTTCGATATTTGAGGTTCCACTGTATAGGCAGACAGCTTTAGGGGGTAACTTTTAGGTTACTTAAGAACATAAGAAAGAAGGAACACTGCAAAGAGGTCTACTGACCCATGCGAAGCAGGTCCATGCCACCCCCCAGCCTAGAACAGTGACCACCTAGTCAGGTCACTTCCTCTTAAGGAAGGAGCATGGCACCAGACCTGGTAGCTCAAGCTAGTCAGGTCCAACTTACACCCACCCACACCCACTCATGTATTTATCCAACCTATTTTTAAAAGTTCACAACGTCTTAGCGTCTATGACGGTACTCGGGAGTTTGTTCCACTCATCCACAACTCTATTACCAAACCAATGCTTTCCTATATCCTTCCTGAATCTGAACTTTTCCAACTTGAAGCCATTGCTGCAAGTCCTGTCTTGGTTGGATATTTTCAACACGCTATTTACATCCCCTTTATTTATTCCTGTTTTCCATTTATACGCCTCAATCATATCCCCCCTAATTCTATGCCTTTCTTGAGAGTGCAGATTCAGGGCCCTCAGTCTGTCCTCATAGGGAAGATTTCTGATACATGGGATCAACTTTGTCATCCACCTCTGTACGTTTTCCAGTGCATTTATATCCATTCTGTAATATGGTGACCAGAACTGTGCAGCATAATCTAAGTGAGGCCTAACCAAGGATATATAGAGTTGAAGAACAACCTAAGAACTTCTATTATTTATACTTCTTGATATGAAGCCAAGGATTCTGTTAGCTTTATTGCATACACTTATGCACTGTTGTCTTGGTTTCAGATTACTGCTTACCAGAGCTCCTAAATCCTTTTTGCAATCAGTAGTATTAAGATCTACACTATTCAGTTTATAAATGGAATGGTTATTGTCCTGTCCAACATTTAGACACTTTTCCGACCACTGCATTAGTCTATTCAAATCATCCTGGAGTGCACTAATGTCCTCACTAGAATGAATTGGACGGCCTATTTTGTTTTTTTATTATTTTTTTTATTATCACACTGGCCGATTCCCACCAAGGCAGGGTGGCCCGAAAAAGAAAAACTTTCACCATCATTCACTCCATCACTGTCTTGCCAGAAGGGTGCTTTACACTACAGTTTTTTTAAACTGCAACATTAACATCCCTCCTTCAGAGTGCAGGCACTGTACTTCCCATCTCCAGGACTCAAGTCCGGCCTGCCGGTTTCCCTGAACCCCTTCATAAATGTTACTTTGCTCACACTCCAACAGCACGTCAAGTATTAAAAACCATTCGTCTCCATTCACTCTATCAAACACGCTCACGCACACCTGCTGGAAGTCCAAGCCCCTCGCACACAAAACCTCCTTTACCCCCTCCCTCCAACCTTTCCTAGGCCGACCCCTACCCCGCCTTCCTTCCACTACAGACTGATACACTCTTGAAATCATTCTGTTTCGCTCCATTCTCTCTACATGTCCGAACCACCTATTTTGGTGTCGTCAGCAAATTTGCTTATGTCGCTATTTATTCCCTCAGCTATATCGTTTATGTAAATTGTGAACAACAAGAGGCCCAACACTGACCCCCTGTGGAACACTGCTTGTGATGTGCCCCCATTCTGATTTCTCTCCATTTATGCAAACTCTTTGCTGCCTATTTGTCAACCATGCTTCTACCCAGGAAAAAATTTCTCCTATTCCGTGTGCCTTAAATTTCCTCAAAAGTCTCTGATGTGGAACTCTATCGAAAGCCTTACTGAAATCCATATACACAATATCATATTCATTACCATGATCTACCTCCTCTAAAACCGTAGCGAAAAAAATTAGTAAATTCGTAAGACAGGAACACCCCTTAGTAAAACCGCACGAAACTTTTTCAGCTGAGAAACTGTGGCAGCTTACAGTACTGAGACTGTTACTGGAATTTAGAAAAAAAAGTAATTCAAGCATAGAAAAACTTCTAAGGGGTATTGAAATTATCTTATGTCTTCATTGCCATTCATTACACTAGTAACAGGCGGTAGAAAGTTATAGAGAAAATCTTGCATGTTTTATCTGATAACATGCTAGGTGATGTACCTTAAATTTGATATATGAAGTACAGTTCAGTACTATCCCCAGCTCTCCTTCTCCTTCAGTACTATCCCAGCTCTCCCTCTCCTTCAGTACTATTCCAGCTCTCCATCTCCTTCAGTACTATCCTAGCTCTCTCTCTCCTTCAGTACTATTCCAGCTCTCCCTCTCAGTACTATTCCAGCTCTCCCTCTCCTTCAGTACTATCCACAGTTCTCTCCTTCAGTACTATCCCCAGCTCTCTCTCCTTCAGTACTATCTACAATTCTCTTTCTCCCTCATTACTATCCCATGAATTGACATGTAAGTTACATTCCAAACTTGTCCCTTTAACTGTTTCCTGCATAGATCTTATGTTATTGACACCAGTGTCACTCAAATCTACCTTTTTAAATACTGTATATGGGTGTGGACATGTCAAGTGATGGGTCTTTGAAAGATAAGATGAACCAAAGGATAGATGAGGGGAAAAGGTATGTGTGTATGTGGGGGGGGGGGAGGTTGTGAAAAGAAGTTTATTTATGGAGAAAAAAAAAATGGAATGTATCAGAGTATAGTGGTACCAACACCTGTATGAGTGTGAGGTATGGGTTTTGAATGCTGCAGCAAGAAGACTGGAGGCAGCAGAGAAGTCATGATTAAGAGCAATTTGGGAGGTGAATATCGTGCAGAGAATGTAGAGCTTCGAAATTACAAGGCAATGTGGTGTCACCATGGATACAGCTCAGGAAGACTGAAGCAGTGGTGTTGAGCCATTTTGGGCATGTAGAGGAATGAAGAGGGATAGAATGATGAAGAGGGTGTTTAAACCAGGGATGGATGGTAGGAGGGGTAGTTGTCTTCCCAGGAGCAGTTGGAGGAAAAGGATAAAGGAAGCTTAGATCTAATTCTAGGAGCTTGAGCATCCAGCAGGTTTGTGTTAGCATGTTAAATAGTAGTGAATGGAAACCAGTAGTTCTTCATGGAACTACTGTTGGAATGTAAACAAAGTAACTTTGATGATGAGATTCAGGGAAACCAGTTAGGTAGACATAACTCTGTAGGTGGAAAGGGTAGTACTTGAAGGTAGTGTTGGATTTCTGTAGGCAGAAAATGATTTGAACTGTGCACACTTCTGGCAACAAAGCAGTTGAATGAAGATGATGAATGTGTTTTTCTTCTTTTGGTCACCCTGTTGTGTGGTACAATAAAAATGAAGGAGCATAAACTCTTAGAGGGGAATAGGAGGTAATATAATTTGAATGAAGAAATAAAGGATGGTTCCAGTTCTTTGGGTCAAGATCCCTTCACCTTCGTCAAGGTGTGCCCCTTGAGAGAATGTGTAAATTAATAAACTCGACAGATTGTCAGTAATTTTAAATTTTGTTGTTTATTACTGTACTAATTATTCCAATTACTCTAGGAAAGTCACATCTTGAGATTCAGATTCA